TCTGTAGATGTCTATTAGGTCCGTCTGTTCTAGTGTGTTGTTCAGTGCGCCTCTGTGTCCTTACTTATTTTCTGTCTGGTGGATCTGTCCTTTGGAGTGAGTGGTGTGTTGAAGTCTCCTAAAATGAATGCATTGCATTCTATTTCCTCCTTTAATTCTGTTAGTATTTGTTTCACATATGCTGGTGCTCCTGTGTTGGGTGCATATATATTTATAATGGTTATATCCTCTTGTTAGACAGAGCCCTTTATAATTCTGTAATGTCCTTTATCTCTTGTGACTTTCTTTTGTTTTGAAGTCTATTTTGTCTTATACTAGTACTGCAACACCTGCTTTTTTCTCCCTGTTGTTTGTATAGAGTATCTTTTTCGTTCCTTTGACTTTTAGTCTGTGAATGTCTTTGGGTTTGAGGTTGGTCTCTTGTAAGCAGCATTGGCTTAAACTTTTTAAAAATTGAGACATAATTTACATACAATAAAATGTTTTAACATTGAATGTTCAGTTTGATAAATTTTAACAGATATTCCACTTCTGTAACCATTGCCCAGATCAATATATAAAAAATTCCTATTACTCCAGGAAGTTCCCTCCTATCCCTTTCTGGTCCACTCTGCCCACTCCCAGAGACAATCACTGTTCTTATTATTTTCACAATAAATTAATTTTGTCTGATATTAAACTTCATGTAAATAGAAGCATATAATAATTTACAGGTTAATGTCAGGCTTTTCTTACACTTAGTGTAATGCTTTTGGGAGTCATCCAGGGTATTGTGTATATTTTGGGGGCTTAGTCATATTCCATTGTATGTGGATGTGCCCTAATTCTTATTTTTTTGCCTATTGTGGACATTTTGTTTCCCCATTCGGATTTAAGTGTTTGTGTGAACATATGTTTTCATTTCTCCTGGGTAATTACCCAGGGGTGTAACTGTGGACTTGTGAGTGTATGTTCAGTTTTAGGAGAAACTGCCGAAAGTCCTCGAAGGGGGCTATACTGAATCACATTGTCACCAGCAATGTATGGGAGTTCCAGTTGTTCTGAATCCTCATAAGTACTTGGTATTCTCAGTGTAAAAATAGTTTTGAGAATATTATGGAATGAATATCAGAGACCTTACTCCAAAGCATCTAGGATCATAACATCTTAGATGTCTAGTTTATCCTTCTCATTTTGCCAATGAGTGAGAGACCCACAGAGGTTATGATTTTCCCAAGATTTCATAAGTAATAGGCATAGAACAGAGGTATCTTGCTCTTAATCCTTATTTCCTTTATAGTAGCTTTTAAAGTCAATTCACTGCAATAAATATTTATGGATATCTGCTATGCACATGGGCCAACATTCTTCTGTCAGTGAAATATTTATGGAATTCCTGCCAGATGCCAGGTACTGTTTTGGGTGAAATAAGGTCCATTATTGCTTTCAACAGGGACACATTCTAGGGGAACGATAGATATGTAAATATAGGTAGCTGAGTACACAAAGTATAGCACTTGAAGTGCTTTAGTACAAATTATTAGGTTAACAGAGGGGAAGGTATGATCTGGAGGGGGACAGGGAGTTTCAGGGGAAGCTTCCAAGAAAAGTTACATTGCTAACTCTAGTACTGTGGTATAGTAGGGTACTCACTCCTGGTTCACATATGCTCTAGGCTTGAATGTGAGGGATAACAACTGCACGGTATACCTGCAACCTTACTAATTAGGTACACTTGGGAGAAATCAGTAAACAAAACATAATCCCTGCCCTTGAAGAGGTTACAACTAGTGGGATTTAGACAGTCTAGACAGGAAGCATACAATTCAATACAGTTAATGTTTATTGTGTCTCTAATATATACCAGGCAAAATCCCAGACAGTTAGGATACATCAGTGAACAAAGTAGGAAAGAAATTGTGCCCTCATGGAACTGATATTCCAGCCAGATAACAAAAGTAAATTATATAGTAGGTTAGAAGGTAATAAGCACTGGATATAGGAAATGAAGTGGAGTAAGGGGGTGTGGAGTATCAGAGGTGGCAGCCACTGAGACTTGAGCACAGGGGTGGCATGATCAGATTTCCCCCTATTGTATGACTCACTTGGATTGCTTTTTGGTAGTACTCCTGAGAAGGGCAAAAAGCAAGGGTGTCAGTTAGGAGTCCCTTTCACTGATCTCAGCAAGTTGGTGGAGGTTGTGGGAAAGAGTTATCTTCTTGTTTGAAGTTGGAGCTGGCATGATGTGCTGGTAGATTGGAGGTGAGATGTGGAAGGGAGGTGTGGAAGATGATCCCCAGGTCCGAGCAGCTGGGCAGGAGAGTTACCATCATCTGAGATGGAGAAGACTGGGAGTAGAGAAGGTCTGGGGGAAGATCAGGAGTTCATTTCTGGATACGTTTGAGATGCCTTTTGGACACCCAGATGGAGATGTTAAGTAAGCATTGAAATTTTGGAAGCCAAACTAAGAAAATGTATATGGAGGAGGGAGTGATCACCTTTGTCAAGTAGGAGAAAGACTGAAAATTGACTTGGACTCAACAAAATAGAAATCATTTGTGTTCTGGAGGGGAACAGTGTTGATCCAGTGGTTTAAAAAAGTTAGGTTATGTGAGAAAATTTTCTTCCTTTTGTAAATTGTCTTTTCTCTTTTCTTATGTCTTTTTTATTTCCTAATGAGTAGTTCTTAACTTAATGTTTTTAGTCAAAATTTTTCTAAATAGTGCTTTTTGTATCTTGTTTAGAAATCCTGTATTTCATGTTCAAAAAGACAAACTCCTATGTTTACTTGTAAAAGCGTAAAGATTTTGTTTTTCATGTTTAACTTCTTAATCCATCCGAAATTAATTTTTATGTATGGTAAGTAGTAGACTTCGCATGTCTGTTTTTTTAATGGATTTACTGTGGACATACTATTTGACTTGGCACTAATTAAATTTTTTTTTTGGTATCATTAATCTACAATTACATGAGGAACATTATGTTTACTAGGCTCCCCCCCTTCACCAGGTATGCCCCACAAACCCCACTACAGTCACTGTCCATCAGTGTAGTAAGATGCTGTAGAATCACTACGTGTCTTCTCTGTGTTGCACAGCCCTCCCTGTGCCTCCCCACACACTATACATGCTAATCGTAATTCCCCCTTTCTTTTCCCCCCTCCTTATCCCTCCCTTCACACCCATCCTCCCCAGTCCCTTTCCGTTTCGTAACTGTTAGTCCATTCTTGGGTTCTGTGAGTCTGCTGCTGTTTTGTTCCTTCAGTTTTTTTCTTTGTTCTTATACTCCACATATGAGTGAAATCATTTGGTACTTGTCTTTCTCCACCTGGCTTATTTCACTGAGCATAATACCCTCTAGCTCCATCCATGTTGTTGCAAATGGTAGGATGTTTTCTTCTTATGGCTGAATAATATTCCACTGTGTATATGTACCACATCTTCTTTATCCATTCATCTATTGATGGACACTTAGGTTGCTTCCATTTCTTGGCTATTGTAAAGAGTGCTGCACATTTTACATAGGGGTGCATCTGTCTTATTTCAAACTGGGCTGCTGTATTCTTAGGGTAAATTCCTAGAAGTGGAATTCCTCGGTCAAATGGTATTTCTATTTTTATTTAATTTTAATGTAGCTCAATTAAACAGTCTTTTTGCTTAATAGTTAGTACTTTTTGTATTCAGTTTAAGAAATCTTTGCCTATTCCAAGTTCATGAAGGTATCCTCTTAATGTTTTATTCTCAAAGCTTTATAGTTTTATCTGTCACATTTAGATCTACAGTCCATGGGTTATTTAAAAGCATGTTGCTAAATTTCAGAGCAACAGTGGGATTTTCAAGCATGTTTCTTTGTCCTCTGTTTACTATAAATTAATTGTTGAACTGAGTCTTGATCATATTCAGGGTTTTCTTGATGTGTTTTGGGGCAACACTGCTTCATAGGTTTATGTATTGTTCTTCCATTAACAGGCAGATAGTATTTAATTGTCTTCTTTTTATGATACTCAGTACCTACCTCCATTAATTAATAAGAGTTGTAAAATGGTGATGTTCTAATTCAGTTAGTTATTTCTTGTAACATATTAATGTGTTCGCATAGTTCTATAAAGAACAGCGTATTTATCCATTTAGTTATTGAAGGACATGTTAGTTGCTTCCAAGTTTTGGCAGTTATGAATAAAGCTACTGTTTACATTTGTGTACATATTTTTATGTGGACATAAGTTGTCAGCTCCTATGGGTAAACATCAAGGAGTATAATTGCTGGTTATATGATAAGAGATGTTTAGTTTTGTAAGAAATGCTAAGCTGTCTTCCAAAGTGGTGGTACCATCTTGCATTCCCTCTAGGAATGGATGAGAGTTCCTGTGGCTCCACATCCTCACCAGCATTTGGTGTTGTGTATGTTCTGGATCTTGGACGTTCTGATACATATGCAGTGGTATCTTATTAATGTTTTAATGTATATTTCTCTGATAGCTTATGATGTGGAGTATCTTGATTTCCCATCTGTTTATCTTCTTTGCTGAGGTGTCTGTTAAGGTGTTTGCCCATTTTTTATTCTGGTTGTTTTCTTACTGTTGAGTTTTAAGAGTTCTTTGTCTATTTTGTATAGCAGTCCTTTACCGGATGTGTCTTTTACAAATATTTTCTATTATTCTCTTATTTTCATTCTCTTAACAGTGTCTTTTTGCACAACAGAAATTTTTAATTTCAGTGAAGTCCAGCTTATCGATTATTTCATGGATTGTGTCTTTGACATTGTATCTAAAAAGTCATCAGCACACTCAAGGTTATCTAGATTTTCTCCTGTTATCATGTAGGAGCATTATAGTTTTGTGTTTTACATTTAGGTCTGTGATTCATTTTGACTTAATTTTTATGAAATGTATGAGGTCTGTGTCTAGATTTGTGTTTTTGCATGTGGATGTCCAGTTGTTTCAGGATAGTAATTTTGCTAGTAACTATAAAATAACTTAACATGTTGAGTTTGATCAGTCTTATCATGCCCGTCATCATTTTCTTAAATTTCTTGTGTTCATACCTGTGATCCATTTATAATTGCAATAGCAGTTGTTACCTAACCTGAGAGGAAAATACCATTTAGTATAAAAGTTAAAGATGTACATGTGTGCACATGCAGCAGTGGGTAGGGAGTTGGTGGTTTCCAGCAGCTTTGAATTTAGAATATATTAATTTTAAAACTAAACAATTTAAAATGCAATTCTAATCTAATGCAGAGCCTCTGAAGTCACATTTGTAGAACATGACTTGCTCTGGAAATGATAAATAATGATGGAGTGTCTGACATGTAGAATAGGGCTTTGTACACAATAGTTATTCCATAAATATTTGCTACGATTCCTAAATATTTATACCTTAAGTATCTTAGATATTTTAATAAACAATTTCTTAAATTATTTCAAATATAAAGTAGTTTAAGTATTTTAGAAACATATCCATAGAAACTACAAAGGCACTATGACTGTATCCTGGTGTTTATTCTTGCCTGCAAAACACTAAGGTAACCTCTTTCTTATTCACAGGCTAAAAGGCCAGATTCCTGAAATTAAGCAGACTTTACAAATTCTAAAATACATGCAGAAGAAAAAAGTAAGTGCAATTTTGTTTGTAAATATGAGTCAACCTTCTTGAGCACATGTACTGATGTTACAGACAGTGGGCTTCTATGATAAATGTGGCTTTGTGGCTGGCCTTCTCCGCAAACTGAGGTTTAATTCCGGGGCCCACACTTCTTTGATTATTTTACTTCTGTATCCTATTTGCAAAACTTAAAATGCAGTTTGACCTTGCTTTAGGTATAAAAAGAAAATGTCTTATTTTGAGGCATGTAAGGGTTTTTGTTGTTGTTCTCCTTAAGGAAAAGGAGACTTTTATGAAGTGTACTTTCTAAGAGGCTTCAGAAAATTTGTTGGTTGGGCATGAAACACTAATGCCATAATAGTGGCTAGCTCTTTTATAGCACTTACTCTGTGCCAGGCACAGCTGTATGTATAAACTGCTTGCCACAGCCTTCAGAGGTATAGGGGTTTTTATTCTCTTGCAAATGAGGAACCTGAGACAAAGAGAGGTTAAGTGAAATGCCAAATTTACACAGGGAGAGTAAGTAGCTGAGTCAGAATCCATGCCCTCCATGCCCAGCCATCTAGCTCCAGCATGCATTCCTTTTACCACTATCCTTAGTCTGCATGGTAGTGCTGTTTTAAATAGTTTTGGTTCAGCTTTGTGATCTCCTTAATAACCTTGGTATTAAACTGGCCTTTTTACATCATCTTATTTTTTTGAAGGAGTCTACCAATTCACTGGAGACCAGATTCTTATTGGCAGATAACCTATATTGCAAAGCTTCAGTTCCTCCTACTGATAAAGTGTGTCTGTGGTTGGGGGTAAGTAAATGTAAATACCAGAGCTTCCTTGGGTGACATTTGTGACCCAGTGTGCTTTTCCCAGCACAACAGTATTGTTTGAGCTGTGTGTGTTTCTTCCATTGAGTGTGGAAGGAACGAAGGGGTAGAGTTCACATTATAGTAGAAACTGGCTGAATGAAGACTGCAACATGTCTCTCCCAGCCAAAAGAAAACTGACCCAAAACCTGCTTCCTCTCCAGGTAATGCTTTACCTCTTAAATGTAAGAGAGGAAGAGCAATAGAAGTAAGATGGAGGTAGTGCTGAACCTCAGATAAATGTTTCTTCCCTGTAAGAGTTTATTAGTTCTAGAAAGATGTCACTAAACATAAGGGGGAAAAGATTAAAAAATCCATGAGATGAAGGTTCATTTTTTAAACCATACATTTTCAGTTTTAAAAGATTTCATAGTCCTTGTCAGGCAAAGGACCAACATGTTTGCAGGATGACTTGGAGTTGTGTTTTGAGCATGGTAGTCTTGAGATGCCCATAAACCATCAAGTGGAGAGGCTGAATCAATTTACGGAGAAATACTTGGCACATGTTATATTCTGAATGAATGACAGTTGTTTTTTGATGTGAATGAAATGTTTTTAAATATGTTCTATTTTTTCTTGTTAACAGTAAACAAAATGTAGAAATTTTTACAAACAAGTAATTCTCTTATGAAACAATAGCAGTTAATTCTGAGGAATGAGATTGGGGGTCTGGGATTAGAGAAAGATGGACTTTTCATAAAACGTTTTTTGGTCCTGCCTGAAATTTTACACAGTTTTGCAATTATGGATTGGGTTATTTAGTCAGTAAGTCTGTAGTACCTACTTTGTGCCAAACACTTTGATGTTGTCTCATTTAATCCTTAAACAATCCTTTGAGTCATTATTAAATTCATTTGTCAGATAAGGAAACTGGTTCAGGAAATAGCTGGTGGTTAGTCAGGTGATAAAGGAGTTCAGAACTGGGAAGGGTTCCCCACCTCCTAAGTGTTGTCAGTAATACCAGACTTTCAGAATTCCACTCACCTTGCCTTCACCCCTAGCATCTATTGGAGGTAGGAAGGGGACAGTAAAAGCTAGCTGTTTTTCTTACCAGATCAAATGTAGATAATATATATAACATTGAAAAATTGTTTTACTTTAAGCTCAGACACAACTATTGAAATTTATTCAAATGTAATAGTGTATAATGTCGTAATGGATGTACTAGAAAGGTAGGATTTTGGTATCTAAACAAATTGGTTCCTATCCTGATTGTCCCATTTACCTATGAGCTATACCAGCATAGACAACTTGACCTCGAGACCTCCATTTTTTTAATTTTAAAGAAGATAACTTGCCTCACCAGAGTTGTTAATGAGGAGTAAATATGTAATCTATGTAAATATATTCTCTAACCTAGGGACCAATGAACCTTCTGTAAAAGGCCAGATAATTAATATTTTGGTTTTGCAGACACACCATCTCTGTCACAACTACTCAGCTCTGTCACAAAGTACAAGTGATTAGAGAATAGCTTGGTTCTAGTAAAGATTATCTTAGGACAAAGGGCAGCCATCTGAATTTGGCCCAAGGACTGTAGTTTGCCAACCCCTGCTCTAACCCATAAAGTACTGAATAAATGTTTAGTAATTGTCATGATTGTCTTTCTCAGGCTAACGTAATGCTGGAATATGATATTGATGAAGCTCAGGCATTGTTGGAAAAGAATTTATCGACTGCCACAAAAAATCTTGATTCTCTTGAGGAAGACCTTGACTTTCTTCGAGATCAATTTACTACAACAGAAGTTAGTATCCTTTCTTTAAAAAAAAAAAGGTGGGAGGAAAGGAGAAAGATGTTTTAATGTTCTTACGTGCATGCTTTAATGAGAATATCCTTATTCTTAGACTAACATGAAGTTGCAGATTTTATGAAAGTAATAACAACATATGTGGAACTAACATTTAAATAATTTTATAGGTAAATTAATCTGAATTGGAAGTGTGAAAGTGTGAAAACAGTAAATTCAAATTAATGAATGAGCATTTTCTTTCAAATATTTTCTCAAGACACCTTTGTAGTTAGTAGTTCAATTCCACAAGCATTTATTCAGCGTCTCCTGTGTTCCTGCAGCTGTGCTAAGCTGTATGTGCCTTAGAATGGTGAGGGAATCAGTATAAAAATAAAGAGTGACGAAGTCTTGCACTGGTTGAATTGCACGTGTAAAACAATTAAATGATACTTTTGTAGCAAAGTTTATATGTAAGTTTATTTCACATATGCAACACCAAGGCATTTTAACGTTAGGGAAATAGCAGGTGAAATTAATTCAAAGAGGGCTTTGAGAAGATAGAGCTTGGGCTGTTATTTAAGGACAGTGTAGGATTTAGATCAGCAGAGAAAAGAGGTGGGGTGAGTGGGTGGATATTCTGGTCAAGGGGTAGGGTAGGTGTGTTGAAACCCAGCTCTTTGCCTTTCCTCTCTGGCTTGTCTCTTCTCCTGGTTCCTATCACTGTCACTGGCCCCACACAGTCACTCAAGAGAGAAACCTATGAGTCGCCCTTCAGTCCTGTCTTTCACCCCAAGGGCCAACCAATTACCAACTTCTCATCACATTTACTTTGCAAAGCTCTCTGCCCACTAGTACTCTTTTGACCTTCTAAAACTTAGACTTGGTAGTTTTCTAATCTCTTTTCCTTTCATTTCATCATGCTGTCTCCAGGGTGGATTTTCTGAGTCACACGTCTTATTTTTATTCCTCTGGTTATGATACTTAAGTGGTTCTATTGTTACATGTAAGGTATGCATATAGGCACTCTCTGAGGTGTTCCTAGCTAGTCTTACCTCATGCCACTGACCTCTTCCTGCCCTGGCCCTCACCCAGTACACTTCAGGTTCCAAACAGCCACAGTCAGTTATTTTCACCCCTCAAATGTGCTATGCCTTTTGCATTTCCACACTTAGTTCCCCCTACCTGGAATGATTTCCCCCTATTTACCTGGGTTACTCCTCTTTATCCTTCATATTCAGTTCAACCATCAGAACATTTCTGAACGTTTTCTAGTTCCCTCAGGGTATTTTGTTGTTCCTTTGCACTTAACTTGGCACTTGGCACGCAGTACTTTGTTTTCCATGCCAAGTGTAGGAACTGCACTTCCTCTCTTCTCTGCAGCTTGTAGCGTGCAGCAGACATTGAGTGCTTGGGTAAGGGAAGGCAGGCCTGTTTGAGCTCTGGAGAAGGGGTTGGCATGTGACTGCTAATATGGAGTCTTTATCCAGGAGAAGAAATCTACAAAACTAATAGATAGCACAGTAATGACTTTTTGGATACAACACCAAACACATGGTCCATGAAAGAAATAATTGATATGCAAAGCCCTACACAGGGTGGTCTGGTGGAAAAGAAAAGTTGTAGGTGCTTAATAAAAAACCAAAGGGAGGGTAAGAGATAAAATTATTGATAGTTAAACTGTACTAATTTAAATATCAGGATATGGTTTGAACAATCTTTGGAATTTCATGGATAAGGAGATGTCTTTAAAACTGTTGGCATTTTCAAGCATATATTTGTTAAATATTATACCATAGTTGGCTAGATATGCTAAACAGTTGTTGATTTGAGACTTTGAATTGGTTTTGGTGGAATTAAGTTACAGTATTTTCTTTTTTGTTTTGTTTTGTTTCAGTTTGTGTTTTTATTATAACATGAGCTGAATTTAAGAAATTACCCTAGTCTTCTGAATTTATTTCCCAGAGTCATTAAATCTTAATGACAATCTAAGTTATTACGAAAATATATTGAAAAGTACAAGAGCTGATGTAAAATGATAATCAAGGATCCAAGTACCAAGGGATTAAAGTAACTGAAGGACAAGAGGCCATCTAGGAAAGTCATCCAGTGTGTGTGGTGACAAGTCACAGCTTCAGAAATATTTTGGGGTGATTTCCTACCCATTTTGTTTTGTAAATGACTTTCCTTCATAACAAAATTTTCTTAGACTAATTTCAAAATTAATTCTTCAAGTAGGTCATTTTTTATAAACCACAGGATAACGTATTGGTACAACTTTTTTCTTTTTAAAATGGTCAGGGATTGATGGAGTGGGAATGACAAATGTACATTTCAGACTTCTCATCACCAATGAAACAATCATTTTTATAGAAGACTGTCAGTGCACGTAAGATTTTGGTGAAGGAAAATTTAAAATACCTCTATAATAATACAATGTTAATATAAATTGGCCAGAGACAGGTCATTTTAGTGAGCTACCATCATTTAAATATAAGAAAAGTTAATTTCTTGGTCCAATTAATGAAAACCTTAAAAAGATTGTCTCTATAGAACACTATTTGAGAATAATGCTTTTTCAGACACATTCTGATATTCAAGTTCATTTTATAACACAATTGTAGATTAACCTTTTAATTACAACTTTCTTAAAAAGCTGTCAGATTTCCATTTCTTAGGGAGACATTTTCACCAGTGTGTTGTTCAATTCCGCAGGTTAAGCTTTCTTCAGTATTAAGAACTTCATACATGCTAGAGAGATTGCCACTCATTGCTTTGTCATCTTTTTGAAAAGACACAGGCAGATTTGCTAGACTAATGCTGATGTCTTTAAAGGCATGCAACAAAAATATTCCCAGAATGATTGTAAAGAAGCCACTCAAAGTACCGATGACATCATCAACAGGCATATCTTGCCACTCCTTAAAAAGAATAGCTAAACAAGTTAAAACTGATGTTGTAAAGAATATGTAACATATTGGAGTCACGATGGAAGTGTTGAATATATCAAGGGCCCTGTTCAGGTAATTAATCTGTGTACTCACACAGACTATAAGGCTCAGCAGCAGAATCTAGGCCAAGGGATGTCGGAGCACAGGCTTTCCAGCAAACAGCTCTTTGATAGCAATGCCCAGGCCCTTAACACAGGAGACTGAAAATGCTGCAATTACAGAGCAGAATGTCACATACACAAGAATGTTTGTCCATGGCGAGGTCCCACCACAAAGATTAGTATCAAGGACACAATGACCACAAGTGTTGCAAAGACCACAAAACCTCGGTCCCCTAGCTTGTGCACTATTATATTTAAAGTCACAACCTCCTCTTTTAGAGCGTGAATAACCATAACTGTAGATCCTAGAATGCTCAGGAGACATCCAGTCTTCCCATGGAGATTAAGTCTTTCATTGAGGAAGTATGAGGAAAGAATGGCACTTACTAGGACGCTGAGAGCTCTTAACGGAGTCACTAGGGTGGCTGGTGCAAAGGCATATGCAGCAAAATTGGCTACTTCACCAGCTCCCACTGATAGTAGTCTAGCCCACCACAATCTTTCCTGAAGATATGCATGGCCACCTTGACCTCATGACTGTTTAATGGGTTTTATCCTTTTCATCCTTTTGTGAACTTGGCTTCAATAAACAAAATAAAGAAAATGAACCAATAATTAGTAGCCTAACTTCAAATGAATTGGTCTGAGAATGAATGGATAAGGCACATAGGTGGGGAGAAAGGGGTCCTATACTGACCAGACATAAAAAGATTGAGCACTGCTCAGTGTGGGGCTGCTGGAGGCTCATCTTGCTCTTTCATTCGACTTTCCTCTAGACCAAACTAATAAAATCAGGAAGCATCAGTACTTAAGCCATTGTCCAAAAGAAAAAGCCAATGAGAACAAACCCTTTGATAAGCACATCCATCAGAGACTATAAGAATACCTGCCTTAGGACCAAGAATGAGGAATATACTTGTTCAAGGGGTATATGCCAATACTTTCTCCTCTATCCACTGAATTTCAGTACAGACTTTTAAGATTGCCTGATTAGATGTGGCCATACAGATGGCACAGGAAAAGACAAATAAGGTGATGATTTTTTATAGCCAAAGTAGGTCTTCCTATGAAGTCAGAACCACACTCAGAACTGAAGTAGGGGCAGAATGATGGAACACAACCAGAGTGTAACAGAATGCTGGGAGCAAGTTACAGTGTTTTCTTAGCAAAGACACTATTACCAGATGGCTTGCAATACTGCTTGTCACCAGTATTTTGATTCAGTGTGTGAGGGAAATACTTAGTCATTGCATATATTATCTGTAGAATTGTATTTTCTTTGACGATTATTGCAGATATGGCCAGGGTCTATAATTGGGATGTAAAAAGAAGAAACAAAAATGATTCTGCCAAGAACAAGGCATAATGCAATTAGAATTGAGGTTCACTTTCCCAGTTTTTCCTTTTTTAACAGCACGGATGATAATTAAGACTTTAAAAAAAAGATAAATACCATTTTATTTATTTATAAAACAAAATTAGTTTCAAATATTTTATGAAGTTAGCAGTAATTTTTGTTCTCATTTCCAGCAATGTAAATGCTGCTTTCATCATTTGTTTTTTGCTTTTTTGGCATTAAGAAAAATCTTAGCAAAAATGGCTGCAAACAGAGTTATGCTATGGCAGCTGCCTTCTGAGCACTTCAGCACAGTTTCTTTTTCTTTATTGGCTGATGTTACTCTCACTTGGTTTGTTACCATCAGTTTAGAATTAGGAAAAACAGTTCAACTATTTGCAAACTTTTTTTAAAAAATTTTTTATTAAGATACGATTGATATACACTCTTATGAAGTGAAAACACAATGTGGTTACTACATTTACCCATATTATCAAGTCCCCACCCATAACCCAATGCAGTCACTGTCCATCAGTGCAGCAAGTTGCCAGAGATCCACTATGTCCCTTCTCTGTGCTACACTGTTCTCCCCGTGATCCCCCACACCATGTGTACTAAACATAATACCCCTTAGTCCCCTTCACCCTCCTTCACCACCCACCCTCCCACACCCCTCCCCTTTGGTAACCACTAGTTCATTCTTGGAGTCCCTGAGTCTGCTGCCATTTTGTTCCTTCAGTTTGCAAACTTGTTTTTCTTTAGGACCCTGGAGTTTTGTGGTCCTCTCTTGCCAATCTTTTATGTAAATTTATGGAGTTTCATCAATTACTGCTTAGCCAACAGCCATTATAATATTCTGTGCTTTTCAGTAAATGATAATTTGCCTTCCTAAACAGTCAGAGGGCTATTGAGACAACACTTTCTTACCTGATATAAGTATACAGTGTCTTTGGAATACCTGCATGAGAGAGATCTTGGCCAACGTGAAATAAAAAAATTATTTGGTAACTCAAAACTCTTGACTAATGAGATTTTGTATTTCTTAACAGTTCTCTGTGTGATAAATATTCTGATAAGGACACAAATGTATTATTGCATCTCCATGTAGCAGAAAATGTACTTGTACAATGTTTTGTACTTGTATTTCATGATATTAAAACAGTAAAGTTAAAACTGGCATGGCACCTTTCTTCATGTTACTCTTTCACAAGTTAACATTCATCTTTTCACATATTTGTAAAGTTTATGTACTTGTACATACAATTGGCATGTCCCAAGGACGACTTTCACTTGTAGAAACAACATAAAATCCTTTTGGAAGTAATACAATTTTAAGTAAAAAATTGAGAGGTTAAATCTGAAAGATACCAAAGTTCTTGAGTCAGTTTTTCTTTTGTAGTTTTGAATTCCCATATTTTAGAATCTGAGGTTTATAAACATCTTGAGATACTGTAATTACTACTTTTCCCCAAACGTTATTATGGTAAGTATTTTGGTACAAAATGTCCCTCTTAACATTAGGACAGGAATGATTTGCTCAGAAGATCTTTATTTTGTCTTAAAGTCCATGAATATATAAGTGTGAATTTTTAGGTATTCCAGGAGATATGAAGAAATGTAGTCTTTAAAGGTAGGAATTGAAGAGCAAAAAATTAAGTTAATTATTCAACAAATATTTATTAAAAAGTATGGGGGAGGTCCAAGATGGCAGTGTCAGTAGGGCAGTGGAAATCTCCCAAAAACATATATATTTTTGAAAATACAACAAATACAACTATTCCTAAAAGAGAGACCAGAAGATACAGGACAACAGCCAGGCTACATCTACACCTGTGAGAACCCAGCGCCTCACAAAGGTGGAAAGATACAAGGCATGACCCGGTAGGACCCGAGTGATACCCCTACCCCAGCACCCCAGTGGGATGACAGGAGTCGGAGTGTGGAGGGAGAGGGAGACCAGGACTGCTAAATACCCAGCCATAGCCATCCACACTGGGAGCGTAGACATACAGTGTGTGGTGTGCTGCATACTATGGAAACGAAGACCAAAACCCACGAGCAGGTCCCCGCAGCAGGTGCCCCTGGGACAAAAGAAAAGTGAGTGCTTTTTGAAAGTCTTAAAGGGACAGTGACCCCACAGCTGGATGGATGCGTCCTGGCACACTCAGCCCAGCAGCTGGGAATCCCCGGGACCTCTGGGTGCACTAACCGCCAGGGCAGCAGTGCAGCTTGAAGGCCCCTCATGGTGACAAACAGCCTCCTGCCTGTTCCCCCTAAGGCACGGCCCCACTATAGTGGAGCAGCAGCCTGAGTGCGGCCATGCCCACAGCAACTGTGGATCTTACTCCACAAGGGCCGGGCAAGAGTCAGAGACCCCATCTGCACGCAGCTGCACAGCACAAGCTGTTAGGAGTCACCGTTGTCCCAGGAAAGGAAGGCCAGGAGCAAGTGGGAAGGGACTTGGTTCTCCCAGCTGACACACGCACCAACAGCCTACGACTACTTCTGTCGCCATGAAAAGGAGAATTTGATACAGACCAGACTAACCCAGACATCCTCCCCTGAGAAGGAATCTGAGGAGATAGATTTAACCAATCTTCCTGAAAAAGAATTCAAAATAAAGGTCATGACCATGCTGATGGACTTGCAGAGCAATATGCAAAAGCTAAGGAGGGAGAATACAGAAATAAAACAATCTCTGGAAGGACTTAAAAGCAGAATGGATGAGATGCAAGAGGCCATTAATGGAATAGAAATCAGAGAATAAGAATGCAGAGAAGCTGAGGCAGAGAGAGATAAATGGGTCTCCAGGAATGAAAGAATATTAAGAGAACTGTGTGACCAATTGACATGGAAAAATATCTACATTATAGGGTTACCAGAAGAAGGAGAGAGAGAAAAAGGTACAGAAAGTGTTTTTGAAGAAATAATTGCTGAAAACTTCCCCAAACTGGGGGAGGAAATAGTCTCTCAGACCACAGAAGCATACAGAACTCCCAACACAAGGGACCAAAGGAGGACAACACCAAGACACATAATAATTAAAGTGGAAAAGACCAAAGACAAGGACAGAGTATTAAAGGCAGCCAGAGAGAGAAAAAAAAGTCGCTTACAAAGGAAAACCCATCAGGTTATGATCAGACTTCTCAATAGAAACCTTACAGGCCAGAAGAGAATGGCATGATAGACTTAATGCAATGAAGCAGAAGGGCCTTGAAGCAAGGATATTGTATCCAGCACGATTATCATTTAAATACGAAGGGGGCATTAAACAATTCCCAGACAAGCAAAAGTTGAGGGCATCTGACTCACACAAACCACCTCTACACAGTATTTTAGAGGGACTGCTCTAAATGGGAGCACTCCTAAGGCTAAACAGATGTCACCAGAGAAAATAAAATCACAGCAAAGAAAGCGGAACAATCAAATACTAAAGGCAAAAAATAAAATCACTACCCACAAAAGCAGTCAAAGGAAACACAAAAGAGCACAATAGGAAAAAAAAAGAAAGACCTAACATACAAAGAATGGAGGAGGAGGAATAAGAAGGGAGAGAAATAAGGAATCATCAGACTGTGTTTATAATAGCTCAATAAGTGAGTCAAGGTAGACAGTAAGATAGGAAAGAAGCTAACCTTGACCCTTTCGTAACCACGAACCTAAAGCCTGAAATGGCAATAAGTACATATTTTTCAAAGACCTGAATGTAAGTCATGAAACCATAAAACTCCTACAAAAAAAAAACATAGGCAAAAATCTCTTGGACATAAATATGAGCGACTTCTTCATGAACATATCTCCCCAGTCAAGGGAAACAAAAGCAAAAATGAACAAGTGGGACTATATCAAGCTGAAAAACTGTACAGCAAAGGACACCATCTATAGAACCAAAAGGTACCCTACAGTATGGGAGAATATATTCCTAAATGACAGATCCGATAAAGGGCTGACATCCAAAATATATAAAGAGCTCACGCACCTCAACAAACCAAAAGCAAATAATCCAATTAAAAAATGGGCAGAGGACCTGAACAGACAGTACTCCAAAGAAGAAATTCAGATGGTCAACAGGCACGTGAAAAGATGCTCCACATCGCTAGTCATCAGAGAAATGCAAATTAAAACCACAGTGAGATACCACCTCACAGCAGTAATGATGGCCACCATCCAAGACAAACAACAAATGTTGGCAAGGTTGTGGAGAAAGGGGAACCCTCCTGCATTGCTGGTGGGAATGTAAATTAGTTGAACCATTGTGGAAAGCAGTATGGAGGTTCCTCAAAAGGCTCAAAATAGACATAGCATTTGACCCAGGAATTCCACTCCTAAGAATTTATGTGAAGAAAACAAGATGCCTGGTTCAAAAGTACATATGCACCCGTGTTTATCAGAGCATTATTTACAATAGCCATGAAATTGAAGCAACCTAAGTGTCCATCAGTAGATGAATGGATAGAGAAGATGTGGTACATATACACAATGGAATATTATTCAGCCATAAGAAGAAAACAAATCCTACCATTTGCAACAACGTGGGTGGAGCTAGAGGGTATTATACTCAGTGAAATAAGCCAGGTGGAGAAAGACAAGCACCAAATGATTTCACTCATATGTGGAATATAAGAACAAAGGAAAAACTGAAGGAACAAAACAGCAGCAGAATCACAGAACCCAAGAAAGGACTAACAGTTACCAAAGGGAAAGGGACTGAGGAGGATGGGTGGGAAGGGAGGGAGAAGGTGGGGGGAAGAAAAAAGGGGGCCTTACAATTAGCATGTATAATGTGGGGGGAGGCACGGGGAGGGCTGTGCAACAGAGAGAAGACAAGTAGTGATTTTACAGCATCTTACTACCCTGATGGACAGTGACTAATGGGATATGTTGGGGGGACATGGTGAAGGGAGTCTAGCAA